GACCCCTTCCTAACGAATGTAAAAATCACAAGCTAGTTAATCTCCTTTTGGCATTCCAGTTCAGATGTAATTGTGCACATTAAACACTTCTTTTCTCTTAAAAAAAATTAAATTAAAAAATGGCGAAAGCAGGAGGAACAAGGACTTAGCACTGGGGCTTAGCAGGCAATTTTCAGTGAAGGTAATAACTGGAGGTCTGTTGCCATAGGTGAATACTTCTAGTTTCAAACCCTTTGGGAAAGGTGACAAAGCAATGTCAAATGTTACTGCAGAGAATCCTGCAGATATGCTTTATGTAGTTACTCCTGACTGGTATCTTTGCCTGATGAAAACCTTGGCACAAGTCCCCTCTGAAAAGCAGAGATAGAAAAACATGCCAGAACAGGATGGGAAGATCACATGCTGTGCTTATCCCCATACATTAAAGCCTTGAAAACTGTAATTTTTTATTTGAACCCTGCCACTTTCATAATATTGCAAAATGAAAGGGTGTGTTTTTTCTCATACAATGATCTGTATCAATAGTGAGGAGTAAGAACACTGTTTTTCCTCTAACAAGCCCATATCCAGTCACTGTGCCTGTCAGTGGGAGAGAAATACCAAATGGCTGGTAAATGTTTTGCATTTCCAATTATAGAAACTATTTCATTAGCTCCAGACAATCTGAAGAGCTCTTTCCCAAATCTAGTCAATGATTCAATGCACACTCTGGATTTCATTACAAACACTACTGAACTTTTAATAAAGAAGAATAATTTTTAACCTGGATCTTGTTTTTTGTTACGTCAGGATCCATTCTCTCCGTGCTCACAGACAGAAAACTAATGGAAACAGAAGTGAGACCTGGCACAGCACCTCTGGGTTCCAGCACCAGCATGGAGATGATCTTGTTACAGTCCACACCCTTTACACAGTGATCATCATGATCCTTCTAGGGGCACTCTGGGGAGCCTGGTCAAGAAAGGATTCATCCTTATAGCAGCAATATAGGAACTTTCATTGTCAAATATTTAAAGAGGTATTCGTGTCAATTATCCATACTCAAGAGGTACAAAAAATGGTCCCAGAGTATTTCAGTTTACTTGAAACTGCTTAAATGCTTGCTACTTGTGGAAGCGAATCTATGAAGCAATTTAACAAGCCATGTACAGAACATAATTTTGTGAAAAACAGAGACCTGTTTGACCTGTACACATTTATATTACCCTCAGCATGTATATGAATCTTTAAGCACGATGTTCTAGAAAGAAGAGTTCAATTTCTGTTTTATTGTTCAGTATTTTGTATGTCCACCCCAGCTTTCCATTTGTGAACTTCCTAAGTCTCTACCTCTGCTAAGTTTGCCTGTCCCAATCCATGGTAAAACATACACTGTAAGCAGGGAAATAATCTGCTGTGTCACACCAACATAATAAAAAATAATCAACAAACCCAGCTATTCTGTTGGCAAAGGAAGATCACTGAAAAAGTCAAATTCTCATTTCCATTGCTGAAGAAAGTTTATATGGGACTTGCATCCATTACCTTTAATTTATGGTAATGACTTTGTAAACTCAGGAATAAAATGATGAAATAAGCTGCTTTTGTGAATCCTTTGTCACAGAACCAGCTGGCTCAGTCTCCATCTTGTATGTATTTATCTGCAACCACCACTTGCTTTTCCATAATTCATTAACATGTCATGGCAGCGCCACCTCCTACGTACACCAGCCCATCACTGGTGGGAGGTGTTCCATACTCCCACATTTTCAAGGAAGTAACCCCACTCAGACAACCTGCAAGCTTTCTGGACATAGAGCTATTTGGCAATTTCTGTTCAACTTTTTGGTTGTCTACACCTGATGAGCACACATCAGTGGACTGGCAGCTCTGAGGGACAGTGAGTGCTGGAGACAATAGTCCAAGCCTTGGGAGATTAAACTCAGCTTAAACCCCAAACTTTAGCATTGCCTAAACACACAGTATCCCAATTTAAAAAAAAACAAAAACAAACCAACCAAACAAAAAAACCCCAAAAAGCTCTGCAAGATATTTACATTTTACAGACTCAGATACACATTTGTAATCAGGTAGTACCTGCAGACAACACAATTCTTAAAGTATTGTGTACCCCATTTTGGTAACATTTTAGGAGGGGTATATAAACTGAAATGTCTCTAAGAGCTTCAGGAGTGTTAACAAAGGTCAGTGTCGCACCAGAGACAGCGGTGTGAGCTCTCAGCAGGCAGTGAGGTGGTGGAGTTGGTGCTCCTCCATGGACACTGCTCTCCGCCAGCGTTACCCCACCTGTGCAGGCACCCTTGTAAGACACCACCTGCTCAACGTGCTTTAACATGGCAGCAGTGCTTTGATGATGCTCCCTGGAGAACAGCACACAAAGGAATACTTAAGAAAACAGATGATTAGCACATTAAATACATGGTCATGGAACATAGGGACCCAGTCATAAAACGTGTAGGATGAACATTACAAGTGAACACAAAAGGATGGGCCCTCCCTTGTCAATATATGTTTGAAGTACAGGAGACTGGGAGAGGGACCTACACATTCTGACAGCACCACAAAAGCCCCCGGTGATCAGGGTTCTGGGACAGGCATTGGCCTCAATGTGCTGGAAGTCAAACACAAAATCCAAAATGCACCCCACCAAGGGAAAAAAAAAAACCCTAGAACAATTGGCCACACATCATGATGTAGCATTTAATTGTTAAATTTATAAATTCTGTAGGTATAATCCTGCCTCTGAAGCACTGGAGGTCCAAATAAAGTATTGAAAATACTTCAGTTCCCTCTTTCACCTTGTGATAGAGGAGATGAGGTATAAAAGTTCAGAAAAGACTGCTGCAGAACATTAAATGTGTTGAAAAGCATTTTTCTTAAAATTTTGCTATCCTGGAAAAGACTTAGTTGATTTAACAGTAACATTAGAGATCTAAATTAAATAATTTTTAATGTGTTCAGAAAAACAACTGTATCTTTGCAGGGTGAACAAAATCTACTTTTATTACCAGTTTTTGTAAATAACTCATTTAACTTGGATAATGCAACCACACCTTGTGAAAACCTGTGGTCTTGCAGGGCATAGACTTCAACGCAAAGAGACTCAAATCATCTGCCTGGCTGAATGACACTGGAGACTTCAGCTCCCAAAATAATTTCCTGTAAATCCACCCATGAAAACACCTCATTTGGGTCTCACAGTAAATCACAGTTTAACTTATGTCAACAGTAACGAGCTATTTAATGTCTCTACACCAGTGAAATAGATGGAGAAGTAGAAACTGGGAACCCAAGTTTGGAACTGGTGTGTCAAAACTTTTATGCAGCAATCATTTTATTATTATTTCTCCTGTACTAAACAGACTGGACAGATGTTTTACACGTGTTCAAAAAAGGCAGTGGCTTAAGTAAGCCTGTCTGCTGTTATTTTAAACTAACAAAAGGTTCAGCCAGTGAACCTTATGATATATTCCATGTACCAACTGGACTGTCAGAAAAGGAAAACAAGTCTCTTATTTTCTGTGGTCATTCTCACATGCTGATGTGACACGCTTTTGTTTTTAAAGACTCAAGTCCTTCCAAGCTCCATTTTTCACTACTGCCTCACGCTTCCCTTTAGAGAGGATGATGCATTCTGTAAAGCCATCCTTAAAGCAAGACGTCAGCACAGCCATTGTGCTGTGCTCTAATCCTTTGATAAACCTTGTAATTCCCTTAGTACTTCGTAACTAAATTTGCCATTGGCTTGGTTAGTAAGATGGTATTTGTACTTCTTTGTTTTAACTAAGGGAAGACTTAACTGAAATCATAATGCAAAACTGAAGCTGTACATTTCTGTATTAAACACAAACAAAACCAGGTCTATGTGTCAGTTCGCTGGTCTGTTTACTGGACAGGACAACATTTCATCTCTAAGACCCACCTCTCTTTCAAAATGTGCGTGTAAGAATGTGAGGCATTCTCTTCCAAAGATCTTTTAAGTATACAAATCATAATACATCAAAAAACATCAGGAAAAAAATGCAGACAGCTATAGTTTTATGCACATCTCAGAAAAACAGTGCAGCATAAAAAACCCAACAGTATGGATTTCTACTTAATTAGGACAGTATTTAAACAGGCTGCATGCATGTGGTTAAATGATGCACATTCACAGCTGTTGCACCTGGTGACTGCTGAAAATCAATAGTCCTCCTAGTTCCCTTTGATACCCTTTCCTAGCAGTGCTTCAAAAAAACCAAGTTTTATGTCCTTTAAGAATACTATGTAAGCTCTATTGACAATTTAAGCGGATACAACTATGATGCAAATTTGTCTATGAATTCTGCAACTGTAACCAGGTGCTCTATGAGTTCAGCATCACCATGCACACACCAGTGTTATGAAGTCCTTATCCTTTAAAGCTAGCAAGGGATGACATCAGACTGTCAGGTGCTTACACCACCACAGCATGATCCACACTGACGTTATTCTTCATTGAACACATCTCTGATGTCCCTGCTCCACACTGCCACTGGCTGGCATGGCACCCCTCTGCCCCTTCCTGTCCTCAAAGACTGGGCAGCAACTCTGTCCCAGGAGCACAAAGAGAGAGATGTAGCTGATTGTTTATGGAAAATTTCCTCTTTCTAGTCCATCAGAAATACTTGGGCTGTAAAGATGCCTTTTCTGGCAGTAGTATTGTTTAAAGGATATCATCCATTGGGTTGCTAAACTAAAACAAATCAGAGCACGGTTAATAAAAATGATTTACAATGTTTGAACTCTCTCTGGGACTACCAAAACATTTGACAAAAGATAAAAGTAAGTACAAATTTCCAAGCCTTTTGTTTAAGTTCAGCTTAAAGTACTGCCAACTCTCCCTTGTTGAGAAAAAAGACCAAAATGTCAATGGCTAATTCTGCTTGGCAGGCTCTCTGTGCTTAGAACACAGCTCAGGTTACCCTTGTGTCCAAGCTGGTTAAAGCTCAGATGTCATCACACTACTCAGTACTACTTCACTTCCTGTGAAATTTATTTCCACCTTTTCACAAAACATCTTTTGTTGACATTCTGCAAACAACACTATCCAATAAGGTTCCGATTTTTTCTTCCTGTGGAGTAACTTTGTACATCTGCAGAAAAAAAAAAAAACAAACAAGAAAAAAAGGAAAGATGTGTAAGGAAGAAAAAACTGATGACATACCTTCTAAAACTATGTACACAAGAAAAGATTATTCCCCTCTCCCCCACTTTTATATTGGAAATTCCTATCTTCTTGTGACTGCAAGACAAAATTTGGACTGAAGCAAATTCTGAAACTGCAAGAATAAGGAAAGCTACAAAACTGAATGAGAGCAGCACTTTTATCTCCATATGTTAAATGCTATGATTTGTCCAATTTTATTCATATGTCTCCTATCAATTTGACAGATATGACAAAGATGATTTAAGTTACTTGAATTTTATCACATAGAAGACTTATCTATTTAATATATCTATTTAGCATATGGTAATCTGTTAAGAGCATATATGCCCCAAGACAGCTCCTAAGAGCTAATTAACCTGTTTTTATTTTAACCACCCCTACTGGGACTATCAATGTACTTAAGCTTATGAAAATGCTCTGGACTGAAATTTTTAATTAAATTAATTTTTGCCTAAAAAACAGGAATAAAAAGTTCTTGGATGATAGGCAGCAATTAGAAATTTATTTTTATGCTCTAATTCCCTGACAACGTTAATAATTTGAAGACTTAAATATTGTGATGTTAGGGTGTGACAACTAAAATTTGTTTCAACTAAAAAAATCTAAGAAATAATTAAGGCCTGCTTAAAACAAGTTTTCAGTTGTGGTAAAGAAATACAGATCCTAAGTTAATTATATCTCTTGATATTTAATCAAGACAACTAAATAAACTGTCCCTTTTCTCCATGTCAGTCCTCTTTTTTGGCTACACACCTTTTTAACTTTGGCAATGTCTGTTAGCTGGGGGAGTTCATCTAGGGAAACCTGCTGGCCTTCCACCTGAGATGCTATATCTGCCAGGTTTACATTCTTGTCTCCATCCACCACGAGTACAATGAGTACTGCTGTGTCGCTGTCTGAAATGCCAAACTTTTTAAAAGCATCTGAAATCTGAAAAAAGAGAAAAAAAAAATCAGTCACTTTCTCACTACATATAAGGAGTCTTTTCAGTTACTGTGTCAGATACACCAAGAGTATAAATTGACAGACATTTTACATTAATGGAATTCTGACAAGCTACAAACCATAACAGCACGTTAGTGTTATTAAAAATAACAATTAAAAACTTCTACTAGTAGCTACGTAGAGTGTTAAAGGAATACATGTACTTAGTTTGGCTGTGTGGATCTTAGCAAGCTTTTCTGGTGAAAAAGAAATTTTTTCAATAAATCTTACATTGTTGCTTGGTGAAAGGCTGAAAATAATTTCTGCATAGAGTGTTCTGGTCTTCATTTTACCTATCTTCTGTAGATGCACGGCTTTGTTGGCTGCCACAAGAATCTGAAAAGGATCTACAATCTGTAAAACAACAGAAAGAGTTATACAGAATTAACTTACTGTTTTGAAATCTGAAAAAAATCCTGATCACTTCATTTTGATAGCCTAATTCTAAAAAAAAAAAAAAAAAAAAAAAAAAAAAGGACTAGATTCTGAAACTATTTATGGGTTAAATCAGAAAAAAGGCACCAAATAGTAGATTTTAGACAGCGTGAATTAATTAGCACTAGAGTTTACACATGAGGCTGATTTAAACTCCACGAAGCAGGATGTGAAATTAATCAAAACAGTGTTTTTGGCCAATCTTGCTAAGGCTGTTTGACAGAGCCGACCCCTTCCGCGGTAGGGCACGGCAATGGAATCAAAGGAGGGCACTTGCGCACAGCAGCTCGTGTGACAGCGCCTGAGACACGGGCCAGCTTCGCTGAGTCCCTCGAGCACGCACTCACCATCGCAGGGTTTATCAGTGCTCCGTCAATGGACCCTTCCATGGCTTTTTTCCGCAGAGCAGCGGCATTTTTCACGTGCTGGAAGAGGAGCAGCGTGACGCTGCGCTCAGGGAACAGCTCCAGCCGGTGCGTTCGCTCCATCCGCCCGGGTATCGGCCGCTCGTCCCGTGGAAAACACAGCGCTAACAACACGCGGCCCGTCACACCGGAGGCTCAGCGCTTCCCTCAGGAATCCCCCGTTTCCCGGCGCCGCGTCCCTTCCCGCCCGGCCCCTGCCGCCCCTCGCCCCTCCCCGGAAGGGCGGCCCCATCGCGGCCGGCGCGGAGCCGGCATGGAGCGGGCCGAGGCCTACGGCTTCTCGGGCGCCATGAGCGGCGTCTTCCTGCTGTCGTGCCTGCTCTTCGCGGCCGTCAGCCGCCGACAGCGCGGGCCCTACATGGACGAGGTGTTCCACGTCCCTCAGGCGCAGGCCTATTGCCACGGCCGCTTCCTGCAGGTCAGGGAGGGACTCGCCCTGGCAGCAGCGCTGCAGCCCCGCTCGGGGTGGAGGGTGTCGGAGCGCGGGTTTTGTGGCGGGTGGAGCAGCAGCCGGGCAGGGCAGAGTTCAGGACCCTCAGGGCGGCGGTGCCAGGAGCTGTGGGAGGCTGCGGGCCGAGCCGAGGGGCCGTGGCGGGGCGGTGTGGCCGCGGCGCGGCTCCGTGACGCGGTGTGTCGCTTTGCAGTGGGACCCCATGATCACCACGCTGCCCGGCCTGTACCTGCTCTCGGTGGGAGCCGTGAAGCCCGCGGCGTGGCTGCTCGGCTGGACGGGGAGCGTGGTGTGCTCCGTGGGAATGCTCAGGTTTATCAATCTCCTCTTCAGTGCTGGGAACTTCTATTTGCTCTATTTGCTTCTGTTCAAGATCCATCAGAAGAATAAGGTACGGTCAGAGTAAAGCAATGCTGTGCACTCGTACAAGCAACTTTGATGGCTTAGTGTATGTTCCCTTCACTAAATATGTGAGGTGTTCTCAGATTTATGTACTGCGACTACCACCACCAGTTTGGCCAAGAAGGCACATTCCTATTCTCTAATTTTTTAAAAATATTTTTTCTTCTCGCACAAGGTGCAGTCCTCTAAAAATTCATTCTTGCGCATAAGTAGAAGGAGTTCTGTTGAAATAAAAGTTAGTAGATACGCAGACTTAATACCCAAAGGTCTGGATGCTCATGTCTTGCTTAAGAGTCCTCACAAAACATGAACAGCCGCTCCTCAGCTGCTCTGTGAGCAGGTTGTGTCATTTAAGGGGATTTCTCATTTTTCAGCTGCAGGCGTTTGCATTTGGCCATGTTGAATTTCATCATATTTTCGTTACCCCATTCCTCCAGCCTCGGTGGGTCGCTCTGGATGTCACCTGCGCTCTTGAGCAATTTGCCTGGTCCTGCTCATAGAGTGTCAACTGCAGACTTGGTGACAGTGTACTCTTGCTGCTTTCTTGTCTTTGATACAGCCATTAAACAGGACAGGTCCCAGCACTGATCCCTGTGGTACTTGGGTTGTTACTGCCCTTTGGGTAGAGTGTAACCAGGTCATCATCCAGCCAGTTTTTACCTGTCTAGCTGTCCCCACATCCAGACTATAACAGTTCAGCTTGCATACAAGAATGCTGTGTATTTAAAAATCTGAAGCACCACCACTGGGTGGTATTCAGATTCAATAAATAAATTGTTTTAGTGGTTAATGACCTATTTAAAATCCTGCCTATTAGTAAAGTTACTTTGTTTGACTTTTAACCTTAAAACATTTTTTTCCTGTTCCCTGATAACTGAAGGATTCTTTTACTACAAAGAAAATTGGTGTATTTTCTTAGAGGAAATCTCTTCATTTTTAAGCAAATGATAACACTGTACAGAATTAGATCAGATTAAATAAATGGTTTCCACTTTCAATTTTATACTTTAAAGTGGAAACATAAATGAAAGAACAAGTTTCGTGATGGTAGTCCAAGCATTTTGTTATCTTTTCACATTTCTTTGACTTCAGTGTTTTCTCTATTCCTCTTCCTTGTGAGGCCATGAGTGGCTGATTCACCCCACACTACATCATTCAGAAATATCATGCAGCATTTTTTAATGTTGTGATTTGTGGTGTTGTCATGTAGTGAGTGGAATAATTGGGAAGAGTTTTTAACAGCATGGTCTCCTACCTTTTTAAAAATTTCTTTTCTGACTCATTAATTATAATGAGGATGAATAATAATAGCTACATCAAAGATCAGAAACTTGGAGTTGGCCTCTCTGTGGACTGGGTTCAAAAGAGGTGATAGTAGAGGTACAGAATGGTGCTGTCACACAGATAAACAGAATCTCATGGTGAGATTGCAGGGGAATAGACCATTGATTTTATCTTCTTCTGCCCATTAATGCAGCCTTTTTATCCAAAGTATGGGAGCAGTTATGCCCCCACCATGATTTTAGTACCACAGATATGTGCACACCTGACACGTGAAAGAAGTTGGTGTATTTTCATTGCCATCTTTTTAAATCATCTGCAGTAACATTCTGTGCTTTTCACTTGGATTTTAACATTGTGTAACTGTATTAACATAGCAGGAGCTTAAGAAAAATACAGCATTTGTGCAACAATGGAAACAGAGAACATAGGAGATGTTATATTGTGTTAATGGAATTCTCAAGAGTTATACTAGTTTTCTTTTAATATACTATTTTATGTTATTGGACATTGTCTAACCACATTTTTCTGCTTCTTCTTTAGGCTGTGTCTGGTTTCCAGAGAATCTTGTCTGCATTAAGTCTTGCAGTGTTTCCCACCCTTTATTTTTTTACATTCCTTTATTATACGGATCCAGGATCAGTATTTTTTACTCTTTTTTCCTATTTAATGTGCCTTTATGGTAACCATAAAACTTCTGCTCTCCTTGGATTTTGTGGCTTCATGTTTCGTCAGACAAATATTGTGTGGACAGTTTTTTGTGCTGGAAATGTTGTTGCAGAGAAGCTAAATGAAGCCTGGACGATTGAGTTGCAGAAAAAGAAAGATGAAAAGCTTTCTTCCAGGAAAGGATCATTTTCAGATTTGACCAGAATGCTGCAGTTTCTTGTTGAATATCTCTTGTCACCCAAAAATTTAGTTACACTTACTGCTTTAACTTGGCCATACATCATACTAGTATCTCTTTTCTTTGTTTTTGTCTTCATCAATGGTGGAATAGTTGTTGGTGATAGAAGTAGTCATGAAGCCTGTTTGCACTTTCCTCAGCTGTTCTATTTTCTGTCCTTTACTGTTTTTTTTTCATTTCCTCATTTACTGACCCCTACTAAAATCAGGAAATTCCTTTTGTCATTGCGAAAGCACCCTGTGCAATATAGCTTAGTCACTGTCATCTCTTTATTCCTGATCTGGAGATTTACCTATGTCCATAAGTATTTACTAGCAGACAACAGACATTATACATTTTATGTCTGGAGAAAAGTGTTCCAAAGACATGAGCTTGTAAAATACCTGTTAGTTCCATTCTATATATTTGCTGGCTGGAGTTTTGCTGATACACTAAAATCAAAATCAATTTTCTGGATCTTAATGTATTTTGTATGTTTATTAGCAGTCACAGTTCCTCAAAAACTGCTAGAATTTCGTTACTTTATTTTGCCGTTCTTAATATATAGGCTCAATATTCCATTTCTGTCTCTATATAGACAACTTTTGGAGCTGGCTTTTTATATTTTAGTAAATGCTGTAACTCTTTATCTTTTTCTAAATAGACCATTCCAATGGGAAAATAGTGATGAAGTACAGAGGTTTATGTGGTGACTTTTTTTGATACTTTTATACCTGTAGGAAAACACATTTCTGTTTCAGGACTGGACTCTGGAATGAAACAGTATGTTTTGCATCATGTAAGGACTATTTTCCCTAGCTGGAACTGGGAAGTAAGCTCTTTGCTTCTATTGTTGCAACCAAATGCAAGATCTGTTATAATGTGAAGATACTCCGTATACTGAATTTATGAAAATTTTAAAATTCAGTATGAGGGGAAATGTGAGAACAACTTTCTGTAATTAATGTAAAATAAGGGAGATGTTTACTTTCATTTTTCATAATAAAATATAACATGCCTTTGAAGGTAAAATAGTTTATGTTTCAGAGGTTTCTCTTTTACAAAAGAAGGATTTCGGTATATTCAACCTTTTTGTTTATTTATCTGTCTGCATATTTATTCCTCAAATCAGGCCATTTCCTTTTAGGTTTACTAGTGGTCAAAGTATAAACCACTATTAAAGTACAATGTTTTCAAAGCCTCCTACGTCTCGCTGAATTTTCATTACTTTTTTTGTCAGTAAATGCTTACATTAGTTTTCTAAGCAGAATGGGCTCTTAAACCCCTAGAGAATTTTGAACATTTTGTTTCAAACTGATATTTAGAAAACACAGTGGATGCTATGTGTGTGCACCTTCTTTGGAGGAATAAGTGTTACTGTACAATAAAACATAAATGGCAGTTGGTAATGTGACCTGTTAGAAAGGGAGCAGTTTACAGATGTCAGACTGCAACGTGCAGTGGATTGCAGCCCTCTTAAATAATTGAGCTTTTATGTCCTGTGCTTCTGTGCTCTCAGGTTTGGGCTGAAATCGACTCTGAGTGCACTTCTGAGTTGCACTGAGTGTTTCAAAGATCTTTGATGTGTAATCTTCAAGAAGTACTAATAGCATTATTGAACTATTCTTTCAAGTATTTTTCATGTTTAATGGAACTTGAGTGTATATATTGTTTGACAAAGGTGAAATGCAATGTATACATACATGTATGTATGTATATATTTAAAAGCATCTGATGTGCACTATCATCAGAGTAAATGAAGGCTTAAATAGTTCCTGTAAGTAAGTCACTTATATTAAGTCTCAAAAATATTTGATTGCTACAGTATGTGGCAGGGGAGAGTGGGCTCCAAAACTTCAGGCACTGTGTAGCTTCTTTAAATTCATTATTCTGTAATGATAATACTTCAGCCAAATCTGTTCAAACATGGTATCATTGCCACTCAAGTCACTTGGAATAGTTTCTCAGGAGGCCAGGGCTGGAGAGTTACAGGCTCAGGTCAGTACTGTTACTGTTTTCTTTTACACCATGAAGATCCCTGTCCTGGCTCCAATTCCTTCCCTGATCTCGCCCTGTGATGGGTGTGGTGAGCCCAGATTCTGATCAATGCCTCTGCAGCCCTGTTTCTCCTGAGGAAACCTCCAGCCACTCTCAATGAGTAGGTGTGTTTGTATTGAATTCAGGATATTTGCCAGGTTGCTTTTTGCTTCTTGGCCTTTTGCCAGCCTGGTAATTTGTTGTCAGTGTGTACCATAGGGAAAGCCATTTTCAATCAGTCCCTATTTACTTCTTCACATTGAAGGGACAAAAGAAACCTGAAATGGATTGCTTTTGAAGAATCCAGTGTGGTTCTGGCAGAGTCCAGGCTGTTGTGTTGTGATTTCAGTATCACAGATATGGGAGGGGAAGTCTTGTGTGCCTTCTGCTTCCAATTTTGTTTTTGTATGCCATGCCAATAAAATTATAAGATAAAGAGCATTTGTCTGCTTAAGTACAATTTTATTTGTGCCCTGAAATACTGAGTTGGAATGGTAACATGGAAAGGCATGGTGCTCTGTCTAGTATTCCAAGTTGTATCTTAGATCCAAGCTTTTTTTCTGGTTTTATGTAGGGGAGCAGGTGTTAATTCCCTTGAGAAAAAAAATTGCTTTGCAAAGATCCCTGTATAGTCAACAGGTGTTTTATCCAGCATGTCTGTTTTTACTGGTTCAAATTCATGATCAGCTTTGTTGAGAGACTGTTCATGTTTCCTATTTTTAACAGAAGTAGCAGCTGTACTTCAAGTGAAAAGAACCAGTTTAAATATGTACAATTTTAAAAACAATTTTAAAACTTTTTTTTGTTGTTGTGAAAAGTGAATGCAAAACGTCCACCAAAATTTAGAGCACAATACCTTTCTAATGAGCTCCACCCAGGAGACACTAGAAAAATTACACATAGAGAGATGTCTGTGACCTGTTGGGGCTGTTTAACCAGTACTATGAAATGGCATAATATTTTATAATGGAATTTATCACTATACTTACTGGTTTTAATTTAAAATGATGCTTAATATATTTTGCTCATTTGAAAGCAGGCTGAGTTGATAAAAATTTAAATAAAGAGGGAAGTTGATGAATTACTAAAGTATGAAAGGAGAATGCATTTGTAGAATAAAGCTACATTTTCACTTTTGCCTATGAACCTGAGGGTGTTTGCAGGTAATATTCAATGTTAGCCAAGTCAGCCCAGAAATCAGAGGCATTATATTGTATCAGAACTGGTCATAAAGAATGGTCTCCAAATTCCATTATTATTTCCTATTTTGACAAATAGCAGTAACACTGCTATGTTGAAATCCATTGAAAAATGGACTTTAGTATTTTGTATTTTGCCCCTGAAATATTTCCATTGTAGTTGTTGTAGATTTGTTAGCTGTTTTCCTTAAAGACATGCAAAAAGGGCTGTATTTATCCTGCTTAATGTTGCCAAGGTCTTCTACATTCAATAGAACTATAATTGCTTACTTTAAGTTAATTCTCAGCATGTGTCAGTAAAATTTCTTACAACAGCTTTAAAATGTTAATTTCTTGTAAATTTTATTAGTTATCAATTTAGAATAAAATCACACTGATTTCTTGAAGTATTCGAGGTAAAATAAAAAATAGCATAGCTGACATTTCTATAATGGCTGCTTTGAAAAAAAGGCTCAGTTTTAATTTTTCTTAGAAATAAGATTATTTTTCAGTAACTGTTTGAATAATAAAGATAGCTGAACAGTCACAAACAATTGAACCTTTTTTCCCCTTTTAGTTACAAATATGTTGTTATTCAGCAAGATAGGAAGTTTGATAATGCTTTATGCTGTGACCTGCATTTCCTGCAGTTTGTGAGCATTCTATATTTCATTCCTTATAACTTCCTTGACAGCACATATTCATGTTCAAAATTAGCAAGAATTTTGTTCCATAAGCAATGCTGAAATATTTTTTCTGTTAATTTTCTAGAGGGTTGATAAATAAGATGGATGACTTCTGTTAGAAAGTAAGGAAAAAGTATTTTATAGTGTCTGGGGGCAGTTGAATTTTGTCCTGCTAATGCAGTTCTGGTGTTTTTTGTTGTTCACAAGGTGGCAGTCCTGTGCTGTCTTGTTGAGGTGACCAAGTGCTTCGTGCAATGCTGCTTGAAATCATAATGTTGTTCCAGCAACACTCTGACAATTAGAAAACTTCAAGTTCTCTCATGGCTAACTGATGTAGCTATAATGTCCTTGTTAGTTTTAAATACAGACAGTATGTTAAGTTTTACTAGAACAAGTTTTGTTCGTCTTTAAAGTGTCTTTCCTGCATTTTTTTCTGTTTGTGAAATTTTCATGTCTGTTCTATGAGAACAAAATGAAACTTGAAATCCTGCTGTTGTAAAGATGTTGTTTCTAGCAGATTAGCAGATTTCCTTTGGGTGTTTTATTATTAAATTTCACAGTATTCTTACTTTCTTTGCATATTCATTCTATTTGTTTCTGTCTAAGGAGAAAAAAACCCTGAAGGACAAATTGAGAAAAGCAGAATAATTATGCTTTTGAGACTGACACGTGGTGATTTTCTGAAATATTCACTCTTTTGGGTGATGCACATACAAACTATAAATGCTCAAGTGTCTGTTGGCCCTACAGTAGTTGATATACCATCTTTTAAATACATAATCTAGTTTTCCTATAATGAAAAATTGTAAAATCCTCTCCATGAAAATGCTTCTAATTATCTTAAACTTCATCTATATTCAGCATCCTAATTTTTTTACCCTGAAAAACTTTGCACTCCTTGCTTATCCCTTGTTTGATAAGACATGCATTTTATTTTCAATTCAGTGACATTTTTCTGTCACCTGAGGCATATTTTATAGAAAAACATCCTTCTCAAAAGTATGCTTTAGATAGATGCACATAATTGGTTTTGCTAACAAACATCCTTTTGCAAACAAAAGGGATCTGTGTGAGACAGAAATGCTAATCTACTTAGCCATGTGTAGCTAAAATGCCCTTAATTTGCCAATTTTTCTGCTAGGTCTCAGAATATGCTCAGGACCTCACGCTGTTCCTTCAGCTTCACGGGTAGTTGGGATACGAGGAGCAGGAAGCAAGAGGAAAAATGTTTCTGCAGATCATTTTCTTGGGAGTGCTGCCATAGCTGGGAGTGTGCAGGGCTGCCAGGAGCAGGAGTGAGTGGGTGCTTCTGGGGCTTAGAGGGCACCACTGAATTTAGCAGAGCACTGTGGCTGGCTAAAGTACGTGGTGATAGGGGAGAGCTGCTTGCCATACATGAGTAGGAATGTCTTCCCCAGCTCCCAGGAGAATCTGCTTGTTGCTAGAGCTGGCTGGATCTCTGGGAGAATGATCCTGCTGAAATCTGACAGGGAACTGGTTTGTTGAAGATGTTTTAGCACTTCACTGTACATCTGTAAATAAAAAACTGTTCTTGCTGTGTTCAGGAAATGTGAGCTTACTTGAAACACAGCTGTGTGTCACAAATAGGGAAGGAGTTGCTTTCATTTTTATGGAATCATAGAATCATTAAGCTTGGACAAGACTCATAAGACCATTGAGTCCAGTTATCAACCCAGTACCACCTTTTTCACCACTAAATCATATCCCCACCTGCCACATTCCTGCACCTTTTGAACTCTTGGAGGGATTATGATTCCACCACTTCCCTGGACAGCCTGTTTCAAAGTCTGACTACCTTTTCCATGAAGAATTTTTTTCGAATATCCAATCTAAACTTAATTTCAGCTGGTCCTCTCACTTGTTACATGGGAGAAGAAACCAACCCTGACCTCACTATTACCTTGGTTCAGAGACCACTTTCAGACACCCACTTCAGACCTATAAGTTTAATATATGTAAATCACATTTTCCTGCATTTTCCTGTGATTCCCATTTGATTCCCATTGAATCTCAGAAAAGCATTGGCTGGCTGATTTTCACATTGTCATTTGCCCCGTTCCTTTAATGGGTTTATGATGTACTTTGGACCTGATTAACATAAGAGATTTGGTA